CAAATTTTAAATGTAACAGGTGACCTTGTATATTTAAAAAAAAAAAAATCTGTGATGTCACTGTTCCACTGCCTGTGCAAAATATTTTCTCCTCATCCGTGGTGTAGCAAAATTCCATTTTGCTTTTGCAACTGAGAAGTTCTTGCTGCAAAAGGTCAGTGTAAATATATTATACACTGTAAATAAAAGCAATAAATGCCACTCTTTTTCAGACTGGGCTTCATAATTAGTAAGTCAACATAACTACTGTGCCATGATGCATACCCACTTGCAGCCAAGAAGCATTGTATCCTCTCTAATGTCTTTAAGAACTACATGACGCTTTTCAGCAGGGATTTTTCCTGGCTACTACTAAAATATCCCCTTTTCCTAAGGAAGTGCACTAGGCAACATATCATCCGCTTGCAGTTTCCAGAAGCAGTTGTTTCAGTGAAACTGTATGAATTTAAAGAGTTTGGTTCTGTTTCATTTGGGGTAGCAAGCCCAACGTATCAGGGAAACAGGAGGGTCCTCCAGGAAGGCAACTACCAGCTCTGAAGTTCTGTTGTTTCAGTCATTACAGGGACCATTATGAGAGGTATACGAAGGTCAAGTCCTAAATTTTTAGAGTGACTTTAATGGGATCAGTTGAGTCATTTACATCACAGCAGGCAGCTGAGATCAGAACCTGGACCTTTGCCTATAAAATACAGCAGGGAATTGGGGAAAATCTGTGTTAAATATAGAATCAGTTAACAGCAAAGTTCTGGTTATGTCATCACAAACCAGGGAGTAAGCATGGGTGGAATCTGATAATTCTCAAGTAGCACATCTGTGAATTAATTACCAGATTCCACCAATGAAGGCAAAGGGGATGACCTAAGTCCCATGACTCACCAAGTTTTTATTCCTGTTTATAATACGCTGTTTCTAGTGATGAGCGCCTGGCTCAGCACAGCAATGAGCACTGAAGTCCTGCTTTTCTCCTTTATTCTTAGGCAGGTATGCTGAGGACAGTGGTAAGAAAAATATATATATATCAAGCAATAACAGGTTAAAGGAAATGCTTAGTTACGTTTCCTGCTCTGGCAAATAAAAAGAATATTGGCTGTGTGTGTAGGCCAAAGTCTGCTTTGCTCTTCCTACGTTTGTAGTTAGCAAGCTAAAAATAACAGCTCAGAAAGCTGTTCTTTAAACATGAAGTTTTCTGGCCTCAGGCATAACCAGGAAGAGCAGTGGAATGCACATCTTGAACTGCAACCTTTCTTGTTACTGACAGCTCTGAGTGGAAGAAGAAACACACGGTCTCCACCTAGTAAGACTTACCCTTCTAATACCGATGTGTTGAAAATGCAGTTATAGTGTTATCATAGGATAACATTAGAGTCACTTGGGTCTATTTTCATACAGAGCTCAGCGCTGCCCCTCTGCTCCCTGTGAGCCGCCATGAGGCCTCCCCTCAGCTCCTCTGCTCTGGGCCTCAGAGCTCCTCATATGTTTTGCCCTTCAGATCCTTCCCCATCTTTGTAGCCCTTTATAATGTATCTCATTTGAATATAGATTTTTGTTTGTTCATTTCTCCAGGAGCGACCCATCGCCCTGCTCCCTGTTGTCTGACCTGACCTAGTGCTGCAGTTAGCAGCTCAGTAGCACAGAGGGAGAAAGAGAGGAGCCATGGCTCACAGTCGTCCCTGAGTCGCAGCCTCCCAGGCCCTGCTGCATAGCCCTCACCCAGTCTAATTCTTTGCTGTCTCTGCTAGTGCTAACTCTGGTCTGTGTCGTGATTGACTTTGAATGAACGGTCTCCTTTAATTTTTCAGCTGCACTTAACTTTATGAAGCTAATATCTTCTTGGGCTTATACTTGTGTGTCAAACGTCTATCTCCAAAAGGTTAGATGGCAGCCTGATCTGAAATGAGGGGAAAAGGCCATGTCTAACAACAGCCCCTACCTTGACTGAAGATAACTGCAGACAAGCTTTCAACTAAAGTCATCTTCCCAGTGCATCCTTAATTGACTTAATTTTATGGTCTCAGTACTTGCAGAGGCTGCTTAATAAGTGCTAAAAATATATCATTTTCTAATGGTATAACAAATTTGACTTTAACTACTGTATATTTGGATTAATGTATTCACTACAGTCAAGTTTAAATATCTGTGAAGGTTCCGTATTTTTTCCCTAAGGGAAGAACACTTCTCCAGCTTTCACAGCTCTGCTTTTCACTGAGCATCCTGACTGGGCTGCATAAGCCATGCTTGCAGCTCCTGAGTGGTACCAGTATTTTTTGAAGTGCAACATTATGGGTAGCATGTTATCTTCCCAGGCCTCTTTACTTCAAGGTCAGCAGATATTTTCCTGGCAGAAGCGTACTTTAGTTTTAACAAAAGGGAAAGGAGAAAAAGAGGGAAGTTTTGTCAGTCTCATAAAGAAAGAAAGCCAAGCTCAGGGATGTCTAATGAGGTTGTCCTCAAATATCTTCAGCTGCACTTAGGCAATGACTAGCAGGGTTTGGTATGGCTAACAGGCATTTTCATAAGGCATGGCTGGAAAATCAAAAGCTGAGCTCTCCTGCTGTCTGCTCATACCCATGGTCTCTAGGGAGATAAACTGTGATGCATCTGTGTAATGATACATTTTTTTTTCACTGACTACAAGAAACTGTATTCTAGACTCTTCTGTTTGGTTCCCTAGTTCTGCTTGCTGACAATCACTTGCTCAGGAGCGGTCCCCTTTAGCTAGGCGCCTGCCACTCTGAGTTCTTTGGATGTGTTGAAAATGTTTTGATTATCTGAGCAAAATCGTATTTGCATAATTACAGATAATTTTTTATGGACACGTAATATATGAATTATCATGTTTTCTTAATAAGTGCTCAGCAATACTTGATGTTAGTATTTCTCTTTTAAAACAATGAAAAACAGAAATTAATACAAAATGTCTTTAGTTACTAGAAAATGTGAATCGTTTTTATCAGATGTTTAATGTGATGCTCTAATGTTTACCTGTACCCATGATGCTTCCATTAAGAGGACATTGTATTTTGTTCACCACTCAGCGGTAGATGCATTGAGGCAAAGTTGCACTACAAATCCAGTTTTGGTGTCTTATATATGAGGAAAAAGGTGTAAAATAAATAAATAATAAATCTGAATAGAGAATTCTTTTAAGGCAGTGTCATTTCAGTGCATGAAGGTATCAGAATTTCTTCAGTTTAAGATTTGGAGGTGTTGGTGTTGTGTTGTTTTGTTTTGTTTTTTGTTTGGTTTGGTTTTGACAAGAGCTTGAGTTAACATGCTGTGAAGTTCCTTCTTTTGAATTCAGAGGAACTCCACCTTGGGAGTTAAACTTGGTAGGTTCTGCAATGCAGATATTATCGATACCACTTTCCAGTGTTGACAAGCCCTTAAGTAGCATATTGACATCACCAAATCTACTTTTGTTTCCATGTTCCCCCTGCTGCGCTGCTGTCAAGTACAGAGAAAAAGTTATTTCTGAGTAACTCTTCTTTGGTGAAAATTTTAGCTGTGCCATTTCTGTTCGTGATAGATTGCACAAAATCAATTTGAATCGACAGAAATTAAGGTTCTGTGATGATAGCCTAATTTTATTTTTTCTCTCCAGAACAAGAACACCAAGTGCTGTTATGAACTGAATTACATTTGCGTAGACATCCAGGCAAGCAAAATCCAGACACTTGTGTTGAACAATGTTGTTAAAGGTAAGTGAAGAACATACACCAATATTCAACATCCAATAGAGGAACCATTAAATCTGTTCTTGTTCTGCCTCTTATGATGTGGTAAAGCTGATATTAGATATTTTTCGTTTGAGAAGCTGATTTTTATCATTCAGTGCCAAATATTCCAAGGTTCAAAAATATTCCTGTGCTTTGCAGAAGATGTGAGGCAACAGTGCTCAGGGCTGTGCGGAGCAGAGTGGCAGGGGCAAACTTCAGTGCTACGGTCAGCTTGTAAAAATGAGATGGAAACGTTGATCAGAGAGGACCACCAGACAGCGTGGGGTTAGCGGGACTGAGCCAGGGCTTCTGAGGTGCAGCAGCCCCATGCCTTAGACTAGGTGGCTGGTTAAGAGTTAACGTATTAGAAAAACTAGTTTGAAAAAGTTGTTCCTGTCGGGATGACTCATGTTAGGCAGGTCAGACCTGCATATTCACTTCACTTTAGCGTAATCATGCATGAATGTAAGTTTCTGCTTGTTTCAGTGTCTTTCAGGACTAGGGGGAAGTTGTATTTTGCAAGTGCAGCACATTCATGCTTCAACCCAAAGTTTAAGAAATGATAGTGCTTTGAAAAGGAGCATTCCTCGCATTTGCCACAGTCTTACCAGAATTGGAGGGTTTGGGATTGGGGTCTGCTTTGTGGCTGAAAACAAATCCGGTACACTCATACATTCCAGACGTTTGCGGTGATTTCAAAAACGCTAACGATTATCGATAGCTCTGGGAGGGAGAAGCGGGACCCGCCGGCGGCCCGGGTTGCCCTTCGCAGCCAGGCTGGAGGCAATGGCAGCAGCGGGAGCCGCACGGAGCAGCTCCGGGCGCTTCGTACCGCTCGGCTGGGGCCGGCTGGGGACTGCCCAGCACCCCGGGACCCTTGGGGCGGGGGGCACGGACAGGAGGTGAGGTGCGGAGAGGCCGGAGGAGCGGGAAACGAGAGAGCCACAAGTTGCCGCGAGGAGCTTGGGAGGGACCGGGGGGCGGGGGCGCGGGGCCGGGGTCTCCCTGCCCGCGGCGGAGCCGTGCGGCGGGGAGGGGAGAGGCGGGCAGGGGAGGGAGCGGCTCGGCAGCGCCGGAGGGGGCGGGCGGAGGGCGCCTCGAGGCCGGTTGTGCGCGGAGGGGCGCGGGGGAGGCGGCGGGGCCCGGCCCGCTGGCGGCGGCGCTGCGCCGGGGCGCCCCGACTCGCCCCGCCATGGGCACCGGCCCCGGGACGGGTCGGCAGCGGCGCCCCGGCGCGGGGCCGGAGGCGGGCCGAGGGTGCTGTGACCCCCGGCGCGGCCCTGCCCACCCGGCCGGCACCGGTACCGGCGCTGGGCAGGGCGGCCCAAGCCGCCTTTCCCGCGGCAGCGGCTGGAGTTGTCGAAGTTGGTGGTGGCCGCGATGAGCGCGGCTTCTCTCCGCTTCCCCGCCCGGCGGGGCCCCTGATGGCTGCTGCCCCCGCCTCGCAGGCTGCTGGGTTTGGTCTCGGGTGGCTTTTTTTTTTGTGTGTTTTTCTTTTTGTTATTATTTTTCTCCTCCGTCTCGCTCTCGCTCCAGCCAAGGTGAATGGCCCGCGGTGGGTGTAGCTGGCCTCAGCGGCTCCACAAGGGGAAAATGCTGGCGGTGGGGGTGCTGGCCGGCCTCTCGGTGCTCAGCCTCCTCACCTACGGCTACCTGTCCTGGGACAGCCTCGGACGCGGCCCCGGAGAGGCGCCGGCAGCGCTGGGAGAAGAGCCGGGGGTCGGCACCCCCAGCTCGCAGCCGCACATCATCTTCATCCTGGCTGACGATCAGGGCTTCAGAGATGTAGGGTACCACGGCTCGGAGATCAGGACGCCCACTCTGGACAAGCTAGCTGCTGAAGGGGTTAAACTGGAGAACTATTATGTTCAGCCTATGTGCACACCATCCAGAAGCCAGTTTATCACTGGAAAGTAAGTTTACTGCTTCGTCCTTCAACTCACAGGCTTAAACGCCATTCCTCTTGAAAAGAACCCGGGTCTCTTGGGTGGAACCCTGTCAGGTATGCCTCTGCCTTACCCTGTAGGCAGAAGAGTGGCTTTCCGATTCGCTTAAAAACCTTGAGTGAAGTGGACTTTCTTATATGTTTGAAGTAGCGAGATAAAACTTGCGCTCTGAGAGCCAGTAAGAATTCAGCACTGTGAGCTGCCCTAGCAGAGTGTTGTGATACGTGTACATTAACTGCATTGCTAACATGTGTGCTAGTTGTCAAGTAATGTTGCTGGTACTCCAAAGCGATCAGCTAAGGATTTGCTGTTAGATTTTGTCCTGACTTTGAGGAGGGCTGCGTGCTAGGGAAGTGTAGGTGTGAGGTGTCCTCGCACAGACTGCAGCTGCACGTTGACTTGTTGGTCACACTGAGCTTCACCTTAACGCAGGTTCCCTCTGGGGGTTGCACTGAATGTATGGGATGGTTCCACAATGCCTCACATGTGGATGAATGCAAGGGCTCGGAACTCTTAGGATCCTCAGGGCCATGGAATCCCTCTTATCATAATACAGCCACCTCTTTGCAAACGTTTGGAAACTTTTCTCTGAAGCCCCTGAAATAGGGGCAGTGGTAAGAGCAGCAGATGGGTATTGTGTAACTTGCTGCCTTTGGTAGTTTGTGTGTTACCATGTTCCATTAAGCAAACAATCCAACCTCAGGGCTTTTTACATGAGAAAGCTACTAAGATTTAAGGAGAGGGGCTGACGGCAACAGGAATTTGAGCTGTAGGAATAGTTCCCAAAGAACTCCAAATGTGGACACATTTACTCTGGAACAAGAATGCCTTGTTTCTGTTTAGCTTAACTCACTCTGACAGGAACAGAGAAGTCTTAAAAGAACAAAAATGGAATGAGAGGAAAAAAGTTACTTAGTTTATTTTCTCATTTCTTTAAATATAAACAGGAACAAAGCAATGTTAATACTGCTGGTAAAAGAAACACATGTTTAAATTAAACAAGCAACTGGCCTGGTGTCTTCATCTCCATATGGTAAAACTGGAGATAATTCCTGGTCTCGCTCTAGTTCCAGACTTGCTGGATTAGTGAGATTTACATGGAGGACAGACACAATATCTAGAGCAAGGCTTCCCATGGTTTTTCCTGTGCCCCCCCCCCCCCCCCATGTGGACAACCCTAGAGTTGTTTTGAAACATCTACTCACTTGTTCACAAGAACACTTGCCCTGCAGCAAGTAAAGTAGCATCTAACATGGGTAATTAGTACTGGGGAGGCGTATAATGCATCCTGGTTGTCTTTAAAGCCATGCAGCAGTTGGAAGTGAGGACCAGTGCCAGCAGCGTGTAGCCAGCCAGCTTTCTGAGGACCGTGGTTTGGGAACCAGTGCTTTACAAAGGGAACGTTATGCTGCAAAATGACTCAGTCAGCGGTCAGAGGAATGGGAAAAGTGGATTCTGGGGGAGCTGGGGTACTGTGTTGGCTCTTGGAGGCTGCAGGGGTTGCCTTTATGCTAAGTAGAATAAAAATAAAGGAAGGAGTAGCAATACCTCACTTTAATTATGTTGATCCTCCATTGCAGAGTGTTTACTGTGTAAATACATGGTAACAATCAGTAGGCATGTTGTAAGGAATCCACTTTGTTCATCAGCTTGTCAGGCGGAAATAATTCTGACAATCTGCCTACTTTGGTTTTGGAACCTTCTATAGGAAAAAGTAAATTTGCTTATACTTCATCTTTATTTTCTCAGTCTGCTGTTCTGAAACCTGTAGAATGTGGGTTTTTTGGTGTTTTTTTTTTGATGTTGTTCTACTTTGGGGATAAAAGCAGCAGAGAGAGAAGACTGCATGACTGAGAAGTAAGGGAGGAAATGGTGACAGATTAATAGGTTTGGGTAAACTATTTACAGGACAGATCCAGAGGGATGCAGCCTGAAGATAAATGCTGGTGATAACTACTCTGAATGCAGAGGTGCCTTAATTAAAATGCCAGGACTCAGAAGCATTTAATCCAGGAGAAGTGCTGTTATTTCTTGAATTCCAGCATGTGTTAGTTCAAGCCTGTTCGTTCACTGAAGGCCCACCTGGATGCTCCGTGCTTCCCAATGCACATACTGTGCATAGCGCGTTCCAAACGGTAACTGATTGATCTGTGGAAAACAGAGGAACTTGTGTAAACCAGAGTCATTAGGAAGCCCTGGCTTAAATTGCCAAGTGGAAGTTAGACTTCAGGCAAAGAGACTTTGAATGCTCCAAATTCTTTGTACGTCTCCAGGCAATCTCTCTTAGGCTTACACTAGTAAAGGGACCCTTTTTTGGTAGCTCTCCCATGCTAGTGAATGACTGTGGGGGAGAAGGTTAAAGAGCTAAGGTTAATCCCTTTTTTTTGCTTTTCATGTTATCCACAGCACTACAGCTGGTAAGTCTGTCTTTTTCACCACTGCCTCTGTTTCACTTTCTCATGTCCAGAGCTTGACTCTTTGGCCTCCTTTAAATTCTTGCTCTCCACCACTGTTACCTGTCAGATTCCCGTAGGCTAAGAGTGAGGCAAGGTTCTACAGCTTTTATTTCATTCTGTATTTAAAGGTGCAGGGAGGGGGCTGCAGCTGAGCTGAGTGTTGGAAGTAGGGAAGAAATGTGTGAGCCAGTGGGCTGGCTGCCACGTGTGATGTGCTGTCCCGGCAGGCTGTGCTGGGGCCACAACAGGGAGGGGAGTGAGGCGACTCTTGGGAAGCAGCGCAGCCCTTGCTCTGCAGCTGCACCAGTGACCTGGCCGAGAGTTTGCTCCTCGCTGAGCTATCCTGGAACTGCTATAGTTCCTGCCTGGGCTCCTGCAGCTGGCTTGAGAATTTGATAGCCAGTGCTCTCTGAAGACTTCCTGCTATTGTTGTGTGCTGGTTTTAGCAGGGCAGAGGGCTGCATATGCTCAAGAAGTATTGAACAGCTGATAAATTGTAGAAAGACTGTAGACAAGTTTGAATTTAAGTTGTGTTCCACACCAGTTCTGTTGCATGACACAGTATTCATTTTAGCCTCTTTCTTAAAAGTAATAGACGTGGCTCAATAAGGAAAAATAAGGACATTTCTAAACACATTATTTTATTGGAATTTACATAGAAGATCATAAAAAGTAAGGATTGTAGCCAGGTTATGATCAGGTGGTAGGAAAAGGGTGCAGAAACACACAAGGGTGCTCAGACTGTGCCCAGGTGCCACCACAGGCTGGCATGTGGTGAAATACTCCTTGAGTTAGCTGTTGTATCTGTGTGCTTAATGGCCTTGATGACTTCTTATTCCTGTAAGCTACTTTTGCCAGTAGAGTTTAAGATGGTCTTGATTTATTGAACACTACAGGGTTATATAACATACAATGAAAATCTTAAGATTATGTGTGAAGTTTTTTGTTTACCTGTGTGTAAGAGTTGTCTGAGGTGAGATAGAAGGTACGTTGTTAATCTGCTATGGTATGGTTAGATGTAGTATTGCTTATTTACATAATTTCTTACATTATCACAGTCATCTCCTTTTTAAAAGAAGGATTACTAAAGCATAGGTAGTATAGACGTTTTCCCACAACTTTTAAAAAAGTTTTGAAAGATTATAACCAAAAGGAGAAGTATTTCTTTTAGCTGGTGAGACAAAAAGGCTGTAAGCTTAGCTACCTCAACAGATGTTTATCTGACCCAACTCTATAATATGCAGTGTAGTTGTATTCACTAGACTGTACTTCATTTAGGAAAGGAATTTGAGAAACAAGATGGATTAGAATAGAAGAAATCTAGTCAAAATATGTCATTCTTTTTTTTTTTTTTTTGTCTTTTTTTTTTTTTTTGGCATTACAAAGGCAGCAGGTAACTAACTCCAGTTCTATGTCCCTGGTTTTCTAAGGGATCAGCTCTGTCTGTTACGTGCTCTGGACTCCTTTTGGGCCACAGGAAGGCTTCTGATATACACAGGAGTATGGGGATCTGTGTTTGTAGAAACTGATACACAGCCAGGGTTACAGATCACTAAAGAATCTGAACTCTCTTTTACGATGAGTACTTATGAATCATGGAAGCCCCACACTAATCTCAGGAATAAGCTCTGCATGATGGATGGAATGTGGAGATGGAAGATGTTGAGAAATGTTGAAGATCTGGGGAAATAAATCCCTTTTCCCCTGGGAGAAAATGAGATACAGAGAACTTGCTCATCCAGGGGAGACAGAAGTAGGCTGTAATAATTTTATATGAGTTCATTAACTGTATAAATAATACACACATATGTATTACTTGTTAGTATGCATGCTTATCCAGGCATGACTGGATGTGTAGCAGTATGTTGTTCATCATTAAAAATGACAATATCTCAGCAAACTAAGAGTTATTTTGACAAATAGAATAGAAGAAAGTTCAAAATATTTTTAATCGAAAGCAGTGCAGCTGACTTGCAAGCAGACAGAAATATTCTAGTTCGAGGGTTCAGACTCTCGATACTCCTTCTCCTGCCTCCTGGGCTCACAGGGAGCGATCTCAGCTGTTCGATTGCTCTGAGCAGGATTCAGAACAACCATCTGTGACTGAGAAGTTATCTTCTGTGTCCTGAGGTGGAGGGTCTCAAAGACCTGAGATCTGTACTCTTCAGTGCCCTGTGTGAGCCCTGAACCAGCTGGGTATTGGTGAGCTATCAATCAGAGGAAGGCCACCAGGTCAGATATTCTCAGACCACCTTCCAAGAAGTGAACTTGGAAGGATGTGAGTGATGGGCAGGCCCGCCATGGCACAAGAGACAAGCACAGAGACCCAGGTGGTTTCTACGGGTGATCAGCACATTCAGAAAAAATTTATTGTTCTATAGGAAGAAATACTGTGAATAACACTCCATTATATTTGTAATTAATGAAGTATGAAGGATTGCAAAATGTCTGTCCAGTGTGTCAAGAGATGGCCTTGTACTGTGTCTGCTCTGATGTGAAGAGATTTGGCAG